ACAAAGAGGCGAAGCAAACACTCCGCGAGCACAAGCGACAAAGTGGCAAAAAGGAGCATTAAAATGCGCAATAACACAAATTTTGCATGTACTAATTTGGAATGTAATAAACTAAAGGCAACCACACTAAATTTGCATGTAAAACAATTAAAACATAAACCACCAAATTTTGTTTAAATTACGCATTTCAAAACTATCACGAAATAAATGGATAAAAAAAGTGTTTCGCTGTGTATCATTACGATCTGCATGTGTAAGTACGGCCAATTCGACTAATTTTATATCTTTTCCAGCACACGATTTGTTTTACCAGCATTAAAAAAATCAGGCAAATTGGTTCAGCCGATTAGGAAGAGTGATGTGTACAGCGCGACATCTGATAACAAACTTTGATTATCTTTTATTCAGCTTTTGGGACAAGGACAATTATCTTCAATTGCTTGTTTTCTGCTTTCTTGGAAACAAATTAAGGTCACGTTGATAGCCGATTGTAACTGAAAATAAAGCTAGTAGACAGTTGAACAAATGTTATTGAACTCTTAAACTACCAATAGATAACTAAGAAACGACTGATTTAAAAACAAAACGTTCAACTTTCAAAACCAGGTAAGATTACTTTATTCACACGTGGCCGTAATATTTAGCGGTTTCGTCCAGTTTTCAATGTCAAGGTTTTGAGTCATCCAAATTTTCTACACGAAGGCGAAGCGGAGCCCCGCATCACTTGCGATACAATAAAACATTGCATTACAAGGTACTAGAGATCCAGAGTAGAACTTTCGCATTAGAAGATACAAGCGGCCAAGTGCAGAAAGTCATTAAATTACTTGAAATATGAAACACAAAATACACTAGAAAAATCATACCTTATCTCAGATGATGTAGTTAAACAGTCTTAAAAACAATAAGAATCGCTTTCTCAGCAACAACTGAGCCGACAAAACTTGGGTCGCCCCCCGTGAAGCCGTAAACAAATCGATTACCATAAAAAATTTTGAAGTATAAAGATTGAAAACTCCAATGAGCCATGATCACTTGTCAATCTGCAAACACTAGCCACCAATTAGGCAGATACAACAGATTCTATTAATTTGCCAAAACAGAAAATCAAACTTTTGATATTTGCCAGAATCTAACCTGCGATTGAGATTCCTTACTTCCTCGTATCTTCTCCACGGTTGCCTATAAATCTATTAATACTAACCACCAATAAAGCAGATGCAACAGATGCTATTTAGTTGTCAATTGTTTGCAGCAAAAGTGGGTTGGGTTGTAAACAATAGTTGATTCGCAATATTGCACTTGCTCGCAAGACTGCTTGTGTAATACAGCGATTGATTGGTCCTTTCACCTGATAATAATATATAACTAGCGTTTAACGCACCTCCGGTGCTTCGAAAAACCGCAGGTATTGGAAACAGCATCTGCAAACTTTTACTGTACTCTGACTGCACCCAATTACAGGGTTGGTAATTTCGAACCTTTCAAATTTTTTACTTCCCATTTTTAAAGCGTCACCTTGAAAATTTAATGGGCCTCTGGAGAAATTTGGAGGCCAGATTTGCAACCACTGAGAGTCCCTGAGAGCACCCTACTAGAGGGTTAGGAACTCAAAATTTTGTGAATTTTTAACCTAAGTTTCCCCGAAAAAAAATTGAAAAAAAAACACCTTATCTCGGAAACTAAAAAGGTTTGAGCATTCATATAAAGAGGCAAGATTTGAGACGCCAGGGTGTACGGTGACAATAAGGTTTTATCTTCATTGAGTTAGTAGTTTCAAATTTTTTGAATTTCTTTGTAGATAAGTTCTTTGAGAAATTTTGAAAAAAATCTAAATGCGTCACATCTCGGATACTAAAAGCAATTGAGCAGTCGCGTTTAGCAGTCCCAAGTGGCAAGACTTGCAACACTTTATAGTACCCTGACAACACCGAATTATAGCGTTTGGAATTTCAAATTTTGAAAAATAATTAACTTAAACTTTCTGAAAATTTTGAAAAAATCACAAAATACGTCATATCTCGAAAACTAAAAGAAAGTCAAACTTGGAGGCAAGATTTGAAATCTTTGAGATAACTCTGACAGGACCTAACTACAAGGTTGGGAATTTCAAGTTTTGCAAAAAAAAATTAAGTTTTCTGAAAATTTTTTAAAAAATCACAAAAAACGTCAATCTCGAAAAGTACAAGGATTTGGCCAGTCATATTTGGAGGCAAGATTCGCAATCCTTGATAGTACTCTGACAGTACCCAACTACAGGGTTGGGAAATTCAGATTTTTCAAAAAAAATTAATATATGTTTTCTGAAAATTTTTGAAAAAATCATAAAAAAACATCATAACTCAAAACTACAAGGATTTGAGCAGTCATATTTGGAGGCAAGTTTCGCAATCTTTGATAGTACTCTGACAAAATCCAACTACAGGGCTAGGAATTTCAAAATTTGCGAAAAAAAATTAATCTAAGTTTTCTGAAAACTTTGAAAAAATCACAAAAAACGTCACATCTCGAAAACTACTAAGAATTGAGCAGTCATATTTGGAGGCACGATTCGCAATCCTTGAGAGTACTCTGACAGGACCTAACTACAGGGTTGGGAAATTCAGATTTAAAAAAATAATAGAAATTCAAATTCTCTGAAAGTTTTTGAAAAAATCACAAAAAACGTCGTATCTCGAAAACTACAAAGAATTAAGCAGTCATATTTGGAGGCAATATTCGCAATCTATGAGAGTACTCTGACAGGACCCAAGTACAGAGTTGGGAATTTCAGATTTTGCAAAAAAAAATAATAAGAGTTTTCTGAAATTTTTTGAAAAAATCACAAAAAACGTCATATCTCGAAAACTACAAGGATTTGTGTAATCAAATTTGGAGTCAAGATTCGCAATCCTTGATAGTACTCTGAAAATACCCACTACAGGGTTGGGAACTTCAAGTTTTGTAAACTATTTGGTTATTTGAAGTTTCTGAAAATTTTTGAAAAATCTCAAAAATCGTCTGATCTCGTTAAGTAAAATGATTCGGGCATTCGAAACTAATAATAGGTTTTCTGAAATTTTTTGAAAAAATCACAAAAAACGTCATATCTCGAAAACTACAAGGATTTGTGCAATCAAATTTGGAGGCAAGATTCGCAATTCTTGATAGTACTCTGAAAATACCCACTACAGGGTTGGGAACTTCAAGTTTTGTGAACTATTTGGTTAATTGAAATTTCTGAAAATTTTTGAAAAAATCTCAAAAATCGTCTTATCTCGTTAAGTAAAATGATTCGGGCATTCAAAACTGGAGGCCAAATTCGCAACCCCTAATTTAATGTTGGGCTGCTGAATTTAAACTCGGTAAAATAACCACTAAAATCAAATTGAAAATCGAAAAAATCTTAACCATTGCAATATACGATAAGCCCGCATTTAAATATATAATAAATTTTTTTGGGTTAAATATTCCGGTTGGGTTGTTTCAGAATTTCCAAGCATTTTCATTTTGGAAACGAACAAAGCGTAATAACTAGTTAACAAAAACGGTTGAAGTAGATCGTTCCATTAAATTAAAGGGAACAAACAAAATAAGGAAATGGAACGCGTTTTCCTCGAACTGAAAGGAACTTCAGCTGTTAAATCAAAACTTTTTAATCATTCTTCGGATGCTATTCTTTTGCAAAACTTGAACCCAATTCGATTAAGTTACTTTTTTCGAATTCTTAAATGAAAATTGCTTTGAAGCTACCCAAGAAAAATCCACAAATTGCTCCAAAATTAGCCTCTAAATTAGATGATTACGTCTCAAATGGCATAATTCCCAAATGGCATAAAAATGAAATGTTTCCCAAATGGCCTAAATTTCATGCAACAGTTGCTTTGGAAAAATCGAGAACAATTTTTTCGTGAACAATGTGAGAAAATTAGTCAAATTGTCAATTCAAATGTTGATTGATATTTTATCGTGAAAAACTTGTAGAACTTTTTATCAAAAGCAAGAAGCATAAGCTGGCGGTTATTAATAAACTTCTTGTGGTCAATTTTTTTTCGGCAAACCTGTTGTTTAAATTTGTTTGGAAGCAATTAATTCCAAATCTTGTTCACATGCTTTCGTTCCTGACAAAATGTTAGAGTTAGAAATTGATAGAAAACGTTTAAATTACAATGAAAACTTGAAATTTATGCCATTTGGGAAAAGTTTCCATGTTTATGCCATTTGGGAAGTTACCAATTAGATCATACTTTGATATAAAATTGGTTGACCAAAGTATGACGTTGTTAACTCGCGAAAATGGCTTTGCATTATTATTTTAACTTTTAAACATAGCCGACAAATGCCTAAAAGCGTGAGGACCAATGGAACAAAAAATAGTGCTGAAAGGTTTATTTTTCAACTTTCGAACTTTGAAAAAATATATATTTCACGTTCAAACGCTTTGAATTTGAAGGATTTTTAGTGATTGCCATTGCCATGTTTTCCGATAAGCCATTTAACGTTAAGTCAATTTAGAAATTAGAAGTTACTCACTTCTAGTTCTTGCTAGAAATTGTTCATGTATTTTCGAGCCATTTCCACTTATGTATTTGGAGAGTGCTATTTACGTAACTTTCCGCAGATGAAATTCAATTGAAATCAAAAGTGCATATATAACTAAGTGCATTCATAAAAGCATTAATATGTATGAATGCACATCTGTAGTTATTAGAGCATTTTAAGCATTTTATTAGAGCATTTTTAAGAGCATTAGACGGTGACTTTTAGGCTAACTAGGTTTTCTAACAAGATTTACTCGTGAATAGGACATTTCGATTGATGTTCAATAGGAGATATTTTCAATCGCTTGAAATCAAGGTTTTGCTCAACTTCTGATATACAAGGAAAGCGAGCCTAACATTCTGCAAGAAAGAAAATATGCCTACTTTCCGTTCATCAGACTTTTGGCAGAGTAATTGGACATAAAACTCAATAAATAATTCTGTTGAAAAATAAAGAGGTCATACTTTGCGTGTAGAAAATGAATGTATCAGTGTAAATTGCATTTCAAAGAATCAACAACAAATTATCAAGTACAACTGAAGGCTTCTAGGAAGTCTAACTGATTTTTTCGGGCTTTGCTAGTTTGTCTTTGGTGTCACAGGAATGCACGAGAGAGCACATGACGTAGACATTGATGAGGAAAAAGAAGAGACTGGCCAGCCAGATGAACTCGAACGTGTTCACTCCTTCGAACTCTAGAAGATATGCAGGATATAGCCAGACCAGCTGGCCCACAAACCACAACACTGCCAGACTGATCGCTCTCTTCAGGGTGATGTTGGTGTGTATTTTGTAGGCGACCAGCGGAAGGAATGTGAGATACCAGACAAAGTACTGCGAAGTGCACACTTTGTTCAGAGTGACAAAACAAAAAGTGGAGAAGAAAAAACACATTGGCAGATCGTGGCTGAACTTCAAAGCCACGCAAATCATACAGACTGCTTGAAGACACAAAGGTAGAAAATTGATTGCACTATGCAGTAAGTTATGGTAATGAGACGGATGTGCAGCTATATTTCCACTGTCCAAGTAGAACATGTAGAAGTAGACTGAGAAATTATGCTTTGTGTCCTTTCGTATTAGATGGTAAATGTATGTCTCAAATATTGCCTCGTAGCCATACACCACAAACGTACAAGCTACGAGTGCAATCAGAACAGACGCCGCAACTGCCGCAAAAATGAGAGTATTGCAATTGGGAAGGATGAGTTGTCTAAGATTGATTGTTGTGGCCACATGTTTATTAGATTGGCTTCTGGTTGGACTTAAGTGCAGCTGTAGATACATGAAGAGAGCCAGGGCATAAATGACTGGGTACAGTTTGAACACTATGGCCACAGCATACACCACAGCAGCGGCCACTGTCCTTTGTGTGGCCATGAGGTACAACAGAAGACACATCAGGAAAGACATAATACAGTCTGCACTGCCCCTGGTGGATATGGCCATGATGAGTGGATTGAACAGCCACAGCGATGCCCACTTACAGCTCTCTTCTCTCCTGCATTTGTACACATCTAAACGATTAAAACATTCATAAGACATCTACGCAAGCAAAAACAAAGGAGATGCTCCATCGTGTGCATTCTTCTTTCTTCAATTTGTTAACATGCGCCGATCATTTTTTTTAGAAATAAGACTAGAAAACTCATTTTTTTAGATAAGAAAAAAACTTCATATATTTTCAATTGCACTTTCGAATTATCTCTTCAATTTTTTTTTTTAAAGCACGCTTTAAAAAACAAAATGATAGCAGAACACGGGATTTGAACCAGCAGATTAAGAGTCACTTTTCTAGTCCCCACTCCATCGTGACACCTGACTATAACATTGCTATTGTGAATGCCACACTGTTGGCAGTATTCGAGACTGAGTAATTTAACAGGCCAAAAACGATTATTTTTAGGCTAACTAGAAATTCTAACAAGATTTAAATCAGCGAGAAAACGTTAAGAAAGCAGCTCTATAAATTGAAATAAGACAAAAGCAGAAATAAGCCTGGAATAAGTAAAACTTTTTCTTTGTTTCGGATTCAAACCTACGATCTCGAGATTTTCAGCCTAGGAAGCTTACCTAACGCCAAAAACTAGCCACAAACAAAGCAGAGAACAGAACTATGAAGCTTCCAATGCTACATATCGTGATTACAGCAAGTGCCACCAAATTAGCATTTTATTTGCGAGTTAGGTTTTAAAAAAAATAACGTAGAGACATACGAAAACATTTTTTAAACAAAACAACAAAAGTCTGAGGATCTTCTGCGATATGCAAGAATAGCGTAATATTCATGCACAAATCATGCTATGCCAATTTCACGTAAGCGTATAGGGTGACAATGTTACATGATACTTGCATTACCTTCAATTCCCTTGTGCTATTTTTTTGAGCAAGAAAAGATAAATGAGAAAAAAAAACGCCCGCAGTCAGTTGAACACATTCCAACACAAATAGTAAACATACGCCAGAAAAAATTTAAGAAGCAATGAAACGTCAATAAATAATTCGATCTCACATTTATTCACAAAATTATCAAAAACACAGCCATAAGAAACAGCAAAAAAAGCTTCATCAAAAGCTCTAACAGACGAAAATATAATAACACAGCAAAGAAAAACAGAATAGAACTCAAAAATAAAGCTGAGATTTTAATCACGTATGTTCGTTTTAGTACAACGAAATTTTACTCAAATATCAACTGATAAAGACTCACATGTCTTCTAAACACTCCGCCATGACACCTATCTAACTTTGATATAACTGCAAAATTGGACATCTTGAGCAATTCAACTGGTCAAAAACGATATGTGTAGACATAAAAGATGAATAAAATTCAATAACAACAAGGATAGCCATTTGCTCTGCATGAAGCACAGAATGTTCTGACCATATTCTTTAAAAACAAGCGTGGTCTGATGATTTGATCTGACCAAAAACTGAAAATTAGGCATATTGAACAGTCACAGAAAAATCGGCACTTCGGTAAAAAAAAAGTTGAATATAAAGAAAAAGACGCAAAAAAGTTTTAAAAAATGATTACTGAAGTTAAACTTAAGTTTCATGATTTATCCCTCAATAATAAGCCTGCTCGTTTGCTTTACTCGCTTGAAATTAGACTTAAACTCAAAAAATTTCAAACCGGTTTTCCTCGACACTGGTACATGTTTTAAAAATATTTTTATTTCGTTCTAATCAGGATTGAAAGGGTTTTTATATGAGAAATCGCTCTACTCATTAGGGTGATTATTTGTGGTATATAACTTTGTTTGCAAAACAAAATAAGCCTGCACGCTCACCTTATTCGCTCAAAATTACACCAAAAACCGACAAATTCAAATGGGTTTTTCTCGACACTGAGAAAACATTTTCAAAATTTCAATGTGACGCAAACAATTCCAATGTTTACTTAAGTACCTCATTTTGCGTGGAAAACAAAACCAAGAAAAAACTAAAACACACCCGAATGCGAAGTTCCTCCCCATTTTCAGGTGCCAGAACAATACAGCACTTTTCGGTTTTTTGATATCTTCAAATTCATTGAAAGAAAAGGGATAACCTTAACAATTTAGCTTCCACTGTTCAACTAGCATCAAACGCTCTCTAACTAATTTAGCAGATAAAATTATTTCTATTTAGACTGAGGCGCGGCAGCTCTTTTTCGTTACAATCCAAGCATAGCAAAATAAACTGTAGAAAGCAAAAGTCAATAAAACCTTCAGCTGTTAGTCTTCTAAAATATTATTTTGAGAATAAAAATGCCACGAAATGAAAAAAAGTAAGAATCGACAATCAAACAGTCAAAATTTTTTGAAAGAACTCAAAAATCTCACACAAAAAAATGCAAAATCAAAAGACTATGTGTCTCAAACGAGAAACTTAAATGAATTGTTGAAAAAATCGTTGCGTGAAAACTTTATTGCAATTAAAGGTCACACTTCTGAATATCGTAAGACAACCGCCACAGATCTTTCCATGATCCCACTTTTAACATATTTTGACAACAATTGCACTTGCAGCTACAATGAATGTTGTTTACAGCACAAGAAAAATCATTGAGCTGAAACAACCACTTGAACAAAAGAAAAATTTTTTGAGTTTCTTTTTAATTTTTCAATGCCCTCTTGAAATTAGAATGAACAACATTTGCACTTGCAACTACCGTAAAATTGTTTCGTCAGCACAACCATAAATCCGTTGTGGCAATATAGCCGACGAAACCTGAGCAAACAAACGAAAAACCAACAATTCATTTTTCTCGGATTTTTTCTCACGATACTGAAAAAACAAGATCTGGCCACGACTCAAACCCCAGACCTCAGGGTATAAAGTCAACTGTTTTACCTCCAGACTAAGGGAAAGCAATCTGGAATATATTAAGAGAAGACAGGAAGAAAAGTAAAGAGAAGATACAGGAAGCAATTCAACTGATTTTGTTGAACTGGTTTTTTTCTCACCCAAAAGAGTCTCTATTCCATTTTGATAACGCTTGCTTATCGCAAGCTCAATAAAAAATTTAACCGATAATAACCCTACCAGATAAAATACTTGCATTTGAACAAAAATACGCAAATTGCGCCGTCAAAAAAAAAGAACAAAAAACAATTAATCCAGAAAAAAACCCAATTACATCAATTTTTCAAATATGAACTTGACACGCAGGAGCTGGATTAGAAAAAAAACACTAAAAAGACGCCCGTAACGGAAATTTAAAAAAAATTTTAGCCAGAAGCTCACTCCTGAATCTCGTGCGACAGATCTCTATAGACAATATAATCAGGTCAAAATTGCTATAAATGAAATTTATGAATTGTGTTTCAAAAATTATAGACAGCACAAAACAATACGCTATGTCACCAACTGGAATTGACTTCAAACAAAATCGATCAAACCTTACACCAAAAAATTAAAACTAAACTGATTCCACGCACTTTTTTTAAATTTTAAAAAATCAGAAACCATGCATCCCATAAAACTGAAAATTTAACGCAAATCTTTGTACAAATTTAGGGAGATTTCAGTCCACTGAAACGATAAAAGTTTACATGGTTAGGTAGCATGTTGCACCGTCTTGGTACTCGATGCCAGAAGTTAGCTCTACTGGTGTCCAACCGCATTTTTTTTTCAAACTATAATGTACAATAGCAGACGACCTGGTAGCATACAATGATGCTTGTGTTGATGACAGGTAAGGATCTAAGTTTATCAAATAGTTGGCAAGGCGAGAGAAAAATATTAAATTGATAGCATGAAGACATAAGTAAATGGGAAGGATGTTCAATGTCTTGAGTCTTTCTTTGTAGGACAGGTTCAGAGACCTAGCTATGGAGGCGTGCCTATTTCTATCTAGGGGTGGAGAAGGGGAGGTATTCGATCGAGTTAGCCAATGGCTTTAGAGCCTATCACTCTTAACCTCATGTGACTTAAGCGTACGACTGTTACAAAAACTTTGGTTTGCTCATTGATAATAGGCGTCAGTCAGTTGTATTTCGATTTCAACTAGTAATTTACTCTCTATAACAATGGCTAATGATTACACAAAAATTTTTAAAAATCTCAAAAAAAAATTCAGTTTTTTTGAAAATCGGAACCCTTTTTTGCTTCACTACGGAATAATTTGTCGGTGACATCTGTCAAATTCACTTACCTTCGAGATATTTGATCAGAACATGTGCAGTGAGTAGGTCGAAAACGGAGAACAATAATTTTCCAAAGGAATGAAATAACCATACATTCGGTAGCAGCATAATTGCCAAAATGGGAGTGTAGCGATACGTCTCTCTCTGATATGGCGATTTTCCGCGACTGATGTAGTCTGATGCATCTGTAAAAACTTTATAATCCACATCGGTGAATTTCAGTGAGTAATGTGCATCTTGGTATTCTCCGTACAAAAATAAGATTGATCTACAAAAGACAGCAGCTGAAAAAATGACAACATTTTGTTGCATTACCATTCTGAAAATGAAGTTCAACAAATGTTAAGCATAGATGTGAAACAATTCCGCCTTATTTACCAAAATTATAGGCGACGATCCAATAAATCTAGCCCAGAAACAATGCAAATAACTGTCTGCATCCGTCCAGGCGAAGCTATGAATTAACTCATTCCTTTCTGACATGATAGACAAAGAAACATACCTGTATGCTACTGTTCAAGCCAATTCAATCTGGCCTTTTAAAGATGCATCGATGAACAAAAAAACATTAACACTTTAATTGCATTTCGAACATAGCCAACAGTTGGAAAAGACTCAATGAACGCATGTAAACAGAGAACAAAACTTTCGAATATCCAAGACAAACATGCTCAAAATGAAAAATCATCAACTAATTACAACATAATAGTTATAATTTAGAAAACTAAAACTAATTTGCGCTAACAGCAAAGGAACAAAGAAAAACAGAATAGAACTCAAAAATAAAGCTGAGATTTTAATCACGTATGTTCGTTTTAGTACAACGAAATTTTACTCAAATATCAACTGATAAAGACTCACATGTCTTCTAAACACTCCGCCATGACACCTATCTAACTTTGATATAACTGCAAAATTGGACATCTTGAGCAATTCAACTGGTCAAAAACGATATGTGTAGACATAAAAGATGAATAAAATTCAATAACAACAAGGATAGCCATTTGCTCTGCATGAAGCACAGAATGTTCTGACCATATTCTTAAAAAAAAAGCGTGGTCTGATGATTTGATCTGACCAAAAACTGAAAATTAGGCATATTGAACAGTCACAGAAAAATCGGCACTTCGGTAAAAAAAAAAGTTGAATATAAAGAAAAAGACGCAAAAAAGTTTTAAAAAATGATTACTGAAGATAAACTTAAGTTTCATGATTTATCCCTCAATAATAAGCCTGCTCGTTTGCTTTACTCGCTTGAAATTAGACTTAAACTCAAAAAATTTCAAACCGGTTTTCCTCGACACTGGTACATGTTTTAAAAATATTTTTATTTCGTTCTAATCAGGATTGAAAGGGTTTTTATATGAGAAATCGCTCTACTCATTAGGGTGATTATTTGTGGTATATAACTTTGTTTGCAAAACAAAATAAGCCTGCACGCTCACCTTATTCGCTCAAAATTACACCAAAAACCGACAAATTCAAATGGGTTTTTCTCGACACTGAGAAAACATTTTCAAAATTTCAATGTGACGCAAACAATTCCAATGTTTACTTAAGTACCTCATTTTGCGTGGAAAACAAAACCAAGAAAAAACTAAAACACACCCGAATGCGAAGTTCCTCCCCATTTTCAGGTGCCAGAACAATACAGCACTTTTCGGTTTTTTGATATCTTCAAATTCATTGAAAGAAAAGGGATAACCTTAACAATTTAGCTTCCACTGTTCAACTAGCATCAAACGCTCTCTAACTAATTTAGCAGATAAAATTATTTCTATTTAGACTGAGGCGCGGCAGCTCTTTTTCGTTACAATCCAAGCATAGCAAAATAAACTGTAGAAAGCAAAAGTCAATAAAACCTTCAGCTGTTAGTCTTCTAAAATATTATTTTGAGAATAAAAATGCCACGAAATGAAAAAAAGTAAGAATCGACAATCAAACAGTCAAAATTTTTTGAAAGAACTCAAAAATCTCACACAAAAAAAATGCAAAATCAAAAGACTATGTGTCTCAAACGAGAAACTTAAATGAATTGTTGAAAAAATCGTTGCGTGAAAACTTTATTGCAATTAAAGGTCACACTTCTGAATATCGTAAGACAACCGCCACAGATCTTTCCATGATCCCACTTTTAACATATTTTGACAACAATTGCACTTGCAGCTACAATGAATGTTGTTTACAGCACAAGAAAAATCATTGATCTGAAACAACCACTTGAACAAAAGAAAAATTTTTTGAGTTTCTTTTTAATTTTTCAATGCCCTCTTGAAATTAGAATGAACAACATTTGCACTTGCAACTACCGTAAAATTGTTTCGTCAGCACAACCATAAATCCGTTGTGGCAATATAGCCGACGAAACCTGAGCAAACAAACGAAAAACCAACAATTCATTTTTCTCGGATTTTTTCTCACGATACTGAAAAAACAAGATCTGGCCACGACTCAAACCCCAGACCTCAGGGTATAAAGTCAACTGTTTTACCTCCAGACTAAGGGAAAGCAATCTGGAATATATTAAGAGAAGACAGGAAGAAAAGTAAAGAGAAGATACAGGAAGCAATTCAACTGATTTTGTTGAACTGGTTTTTTTCTCACCCAAAAGAGTCTCTATTCCATTTTGATAACGCTTGCTTATCGCAAGCTCAATAAAAAACTTAACCGATAATAACCCTACCAGATAAAATACTTGCATTTGAACAAAAATACGCAAATTGCGCCGTCAAAAAAAAAGAACAAAAAACAATTAATCCAGAAAAAAACCCAATTACATCAATTTTTCAAATATGAACTTGACACGCAGGAGCTGGATTAGAAAAAAAACACTAAAAAGACGCCCGTAACGGAAATTTAAAAAAATTTTTAGCCAGAAGCTCACTCCTGAATCTCGTGCGACAGATCTCTATAGACAATATAATCAGGTCAAAATTGCTATAAATGAAATTTATGAATTGTGTTTCAAAAATTATAGACAGCACAAAACAATACGCTATGTCACCAACTGGAATTGACTTCAAACAAAATCGATCAAACCTTACACCAAAAAATTAAAACTAAACTGATTCCACGCACTTTTTTTAAATTTTAAAAAATCAGAAACCATGCATCCCATAAAACTGAAAATTTAACGCAAATCTTTGTACAAATTTAGGGAGATTTCAGTCCACTGAAACGATAAAAGTTTACATGGTTAGGTAGCATGTTGCACCGTCTTGGTACTCGATGCCAGAAGTTAGCTCTACTGGTGTCCAACCGCATTTTTTTTCAAACTATAATGTACAATAGCAGACGACCTGGTAGCATACAATGATGCTTGTGTTGATGACAGGTAAGGATCTAAGTTTATCAAATAGTTGGCAAGGCGAGAGAAAAATATTAAATTGATAGCATGAAGACATAAGTAAATGGGAAGGATGTTCAATGTCTTGAGTCTTTCTTTGTAGGACAGGTTCAGAGACCTAGCTATGGAGGCGTGCCTATTTCTATCTAGGGGTGGAGAAGGGGAGGTATTCGATCGAGTTAGCCAATGGCTTTAGAGCCTATCACTCTTAACCTCATGTGACTTAAGCGTACGACTGTTACAAAAACTTTGGTTTGCTCATTGATAATAGGCGTCAGTCAGTTGTATTTCGATTTCAACTAGTAATTTACTCTCTATAACAATGGCTAATGATTACACAAAAATTTTTAAAAATCTCAAAAAAAAATTCAGTTTTTTTGAAAATCGGAACCCTTTTTTGCTTCACTACGGAATAATTTGTCGGTGACATCTGTCAAATTCACTTACCTTCGAGATATTTGATCAGAACATGTGCAGTGAGTAGGTCGAAAACGGAGAACAATAATTTTCCAAAGGAATGAAATAACAATACATTCGGTAGCAGCATAATTGCCAAAATGGGAGTGTAGCGATACGTCTCTCTCTGATATGGCGATTTTCCGCGACTGATGTAGTCTGATGCATCTGTAAAAACTTTATAATCCACATCGGTGAATTTCAGTGAGTAATGTGCATCTTGGTATTCTCCGTACAAAAATAAGATTGATCTACAAAAGACAGCAGCTGAAAAAATGACAACATTTTGTTGCATTACCATTCTGAAAATGAAGTTCAACAAATGTTAAGCATAGATGTGAAACAATTCCGCCTTATTTACCAAAATTATAGGCGACGATCCAATAAATCTAGCCCAGAAACAATGCAAATAACTGTCTGCATCCGTCCAGGCGAAGCTATGAATTAACTCATTCCTTTCTGACATGATAGACAAAGAAACATACCTGTATGCTACTGTTCAAGCCAATTCAATCTGGCCTTTTAAAGATGCATCGATGAACAAAAAAACATTAACACTTTAATTGCATTTCGAACATAGCCAACAGTTGGAAAAGACTCAATGAACGCATGTAAACAGAGAACAAAACTTTCGAATATCCAAGACAAACATGCTCAAAATGAAAAATCATCAACTAATTACAACATAATAGTTATAATTTAGAAAACTAAAACTAATTTGCGCTAACAGCAAAGGAACAAAGGAGCACCAGAATTGGGAATGCAAAAAACGTAATAAACTGCACAAGACTAGATGGCCCGGCTGACAATCATAGTGGCGTTTCCTCTCATGAGGCACACTGAGAGGCTCTGGAGAAGGCGAACTGGGGCAACACGAGCGTCACGTGAACCAGAACGTCTGGCATCAGCGAGGATAGCAAATGACTTGAGGGTTTTGATAGCTAAAGCGGACCAACCCCCGAGCGTTTCGACTGCTAACGGGAAAAAACTGATTCCTTGTTCCTCACAGTTTTTCTCGTGTTTCGAAAATTTGCGGTCCTCAGCAACTTCCAGGGACGCCCCGGGGGTCTCCGCCGCACGAGAGAGAAGAGATAACTGCAGCGGGGATGTCACGGTGACGTCGAAAGCAGCTGGGCGACCAGCGCTCCAAGTAGGGATAAAAATATCGCCGGGTTTGGACCGTTCTCCAGGGATGAGGTTCCGTTGCTCCTTGATGGGGGCTAAAGAGGCAGCCGAGGTAGCATTGAAAATAATGTCCCGTAGTCTGTCGTGACGGGAGATCCGGCCACCACTCCCCCCACAAGCGACAGCGTGGTCCCCGAGGACGTCCAGAATGCCAGACGGACACGCGGGGCACCTACGAGCAGACGCGAACACAGGAAGACCAAGGCGGTATCTGACAGCAGCTTGGAACTCAGCAGGTAGCAGGTGCAGGCCAAGACCTTTAATGGGGACTGCAGTAAGCCAAGCACCGGCGTAAGGCTGGGAGAGCGACTGAAGACGAGCTTGCTCG